GCTCTGAAGACCATGGAGACTCACCCAGTGCTGAACAGGATGAAAAAGTCTGATCTAGTTCAGGAGCTGCAGTGTGGCTCTGTACTAGCTGTTCATGAGGAACAATCTGCAGGACACCTTCAGACACTGTGACTCTGCTGAATACTCTCATCACATCTCCTCTGACCACAGCTGAATCTGAGAGGAGCTTCTCAACACTGAAGACAATTCAGACTTCCTCAGGTACAACATCACATCTCACTGCACTGACCATGCTCACTATAGAGAAGAAACTTATTAAAACATCCCTGACTTTAACCAGAGTCATGAAGAAATTTGCTTCTCAGTATCAGAAGAGCATAATTTATGTACAAAAAAATGACAATACATGACATTGTAATGCTGTTTTGTTATTTTCATTTGTTTAATAAATACACTGGCGTGATGCAACTTAGTACGTTTGATTGCTTTCTGAGATATGTATTTTGGAGTTGTAGCCCCACTTGGAGAAAAATCCACCAGCCGCCACTGCAGAAGAACATGCGCCACACTACATATAACAAAAAGATAAATATACACTCACAAACATCTCAACCTAATATCTGAAAATGTGCCCTTTCTTCCCACCAAAAGACTAAACTTAAAAGAAAATACAGATTACGTGTTATGCCATGAAACTTAAAAAAAGAACGTACAGTTTGTGTAAAAAAAATAAAAGGGAGCGCTCAGTGCAATTACCAACACCAGATGAYGCAGATGCTTAAAAACCACCAGTTTGTGTGTGAGGGAGTGTAATTAACCAGTCTTCACAGTTCTCTTTTTAACCCACTACATGAAAGTGAGTTGACAAAATAAAGACCATCATCAACAACTACAACATGTACACAACTGTGCTAAACTGGACAGCTTTGACAACTAATACAGCCCCATTAAAAGCACTTAAAGACATGTGAGAGCAACAGTTACACACTTACACACACAGCTGACTTAAGGCTGCTGGAATGTGGATTCAATTGTCTAAAGGAGTAAAATAAAACTTGATATTTCTTGTGCTTGTGTTAGACAGACTGATGAGCACCCTTGTTACTGCTTTTAGGTTTTTTATTGTATCTTTTAAAAAGATATATATAATTAGATTTATAATCCTTTTAATACTGATGTTTTTGCTTAACTGCTTTGTAAAGCAGATCTCAATTTCACCTCCATTTTCCACTTCTTCCCTCCATTATGTGTTGCCCATAAACCGCTAGGCTTTATTCCCAAGTATTTTAACYCTTCCTTTCCCCCGCTTGAGTGGTGATCAACAAACCTCAAAACAACTTCTTTACGCAATCCTAATCTTTTTCTTGGTAACCCTCGATTCTCCCTCATCTCCACAGTGATTGTGAGGAGSTGGGAAGCTTTGCAACCTTTTCTTCTCCCAGGATAAATCTCTCCAACCCCAGAGTGGACSGCCTGGAGGCCAGGCAAAGTGTTATACTAGCATTCCTGAGTGTTGTCACTTCCTGGCCCARCGTTTTTAATTCGCTACAACACATGCCGTAGACAGCTGGAAGCCTAGGTGTTAAGAGGAAACTTTGTACACAGTTTGTGAACTGCCGCATCTGATAAARCTGCAAAAACATTTAAACAAAGTGGCAATTTAACTTAAGCAAGGTATGATGGAAAAAAACTGCATTTTTCTCAACCTTAAAGCAAMATTTCTATATGGAGGTAAAAACGGTTAATCTATTTAATGTTACCATTACTTTGTTTGTCCATGAACTAAATATAGATGCAACAATGCAACAAACTGAGCTGACAGAAAATTTGACGTGCACACAGATGACAGGAAAGTGGATAAAATCTGAGTTGCATTACAAAGATTAGAAGAGCAGAAACAGATGGGCTGCTGTGGTTTGTCTCTCCAATGTCATGATGACCCCAACCCAGTCATTACAAATCTATACTGCGCCCCCCCCCCCCCCCCCCCCCCCAAAAAAAAAAAAAAAAACACATTTAGGTTGCCTGACAAAAAGCTGTCAGTGAGCAGGGGGAAAAATACCACTAATGACTATGTAGGACAACGTCAAATCTTAAAACTCTTAACTCGYCTGTTACTTCTGACAGGAGCTGAGCTGTGAGCATCTCCAATTTCAAACATCATTCCAAATACACAGGTTTGAAAGTCGGGAATATGGTGGAAGATAATGAAATGTTTTGAAAACTGTCAGTGAGAGAAACCTAAAATTGACCGATAATACTTTATTGATCCCAAGGGGAAATTACAGTTCAGTTCAGAACACCCGTTCACAAGACAAAACATAAACAAACATAGGAGAACCGGTGCCCCCAGGTCTTGCAGCCATAGACCCTGCACAGGGCAAGGATTATCATCATGAAAGATGAAAAAATGGTGACATGATTCACAGAGCTAACACACACACACACACACACACACTACAGGAGACTTCCTGGTCTGTGTTAGAACAGCTGGGATGTCTGAATAATGTCATCATTGCTTCACAAAAAGTGAAAAGTTTTAGGTTCTTATTCAAACATTTCA